TGGGGAGGGAGCAGGGGAAATAAAAATAGATAAATAAAAAACAAAACAAAAAAAGCCAGCAAAAAATAATCTAGAACATTTCTGAAAAAAAAAAAAAAAAGAAAGAAAGAAAAGAAAGATCTTTCATCTGCTGGTTCACTCCCCAAGCCAGAACTGAGCCAATCAGAAGCCAGGAGCCAGAATCCTCCTCTGCCAGGTCTCCCTCATAGGTGCAGGGTCCCAAGGCTTTGGGCCGTCCTTGACAGCTTTCCCAGGCCACAGGCAGGGAGCTGGATGGAAGTGGGGCATCCATATGGGATCTCAGTGCCTGCAAGGCGAGGACTTCAGCCGCTAGGCTATTGCGCCAGGCTCTAAATTCTGTGTATGTGTGTGTTTTAAAATTTATTTATTTATTTTTATTACAAAGTCAGATATACAGAGAGGAGGAGAGACAGAGAGGAAGATCTTCCGTCGGATGATTCACTCCCCAAGTCACTGCAACGGCCAATGCTATGCCGTTGCTATGCTATGCCGATGCTATGCCAGGAACCAAGGAACCCGTCCTGTACTGCTTTCCCAGGCCACAAGCAGGGAGCTGGATGGGAAGTGGAGCTGCCGGGATTAGAACTGGCGCCCATATGGGACCCCGGGGCGTTCAAGGCGAGGACTTTAGCCAGTAGGCCACGCCGCCGGGCCCAAATTCTGCATTTTAAAGACGACAAGGACAGACGTGAGAGCTGGCTGAGGGAGGAAGATGGAAATTGGAAAAGGCAAGGTGCTCCTCCAGACACCCTCCAACCCCACTTGTCCCACCCCTGGGGATCTGCGCCTGCGCGCCCGGTTCCTCCAGTGCGAGTGCGTGCCGCCGCTCACCGCCACTAGGGGGAGACGTATGCACACCGACGTGGACTATGCACCAGCCCTTGGGCAGAAAAGGGGAGCGTGTGCTGAAGGCACCCCAGGCTGGTTCTGAGGCCGGATTGGACTGGATTCCTGTCCCACACCAATCCAGCAGGGAGAGGTTTCGCACGTTGCTCCTCCGTGTCTCTGAGGACTGAGCTGCGCAGCGAAGGGATGAGAGTAGAGCAATATGCAGTGGCTAGATCAGTGGGCTGCACATATGCATTCCCTCTGCGAAGGAAGGATTTGGGGGGGCCCACGCTGGAATCCCAGGCTTTATGCACCAGAAGCCTCAGAGGCTTCTGAAAAGGAGGCTGGCATCAGTGTTTCACATAGTGATGTGAGATTTTCCCCTCCACTTTCTTATACACACAGCCAGAGGGACCGAAAGGCTGGGATACCTGGGCTTCCCAAATCCGGTTCCCGTCATCAGCACCCAGCTGAAAATTTGGATTGCGGGGTCTAGTGCCCAAGCGTGCCATGCTTAACCTCCAGCTTTGGGCCAGCATCACATATGGGTATCGGTTTGAGTCCCGGCAGCTTCACTTTCAATCCAGCTCCCTGCTTGTGGCCGGGGAAAGCAGTTGAGTATGTCCCAACCACTTGGGCCTCTGCACCCATGTGGGAGACCGGAAAGAAGCTCCTGGCTCCCAACTGGCCCAGCTCTAGCCAGTGTTGGCATTTGGGGAGTGAACCAGTGAATGGAAGGTCTCTCTGAGTCTCTACTTTTTCTATAATGTTGCCTTTCATGTTAAAATCAGTCTTTTAAAAACACGTGGATTCCGGTGTCGCACCTAGAGTCACTGGCTAGAACCACTGGCTGGGGCGTGGACTCGTGTGTTTACACATGCATGGTGATTAACTTTTGAGAAGTTCTTGTTCAGTCCAGCCTCCTGAATTTGCATGGGAAAAATGAAAGTGCCTCAAGATTCTTTATCCAGGACTTGAACACAGAGCCCGGGTCCCCCGCAGCAGGGGTGCGCGCCTTGCCCCTGAGAGCTCTGGAAATGCTCCAAGTGTTGCTGGCAAAGGGGTCGTTGTTGTTGATTATTATTGCTATTATTAAAGATGTGTTTATCTATTTGAAAGGCAGAGTAAGAGCCAGAGGGAGCGAGAACTAGAGACAGAGAGATCTCTCTTGTGGCAATTCACCCACGAAATGACCCCGACAGGTAGACTGGACCGGGCCACTCTAGGCTGAAGCCAGATGCCAGGAAATCCATCAAGGTCATCTGTATGGCTGGCAGCGGTCTGGGCACTTGGCTCATCAGCTGCTGTTCTACTGCCTTCCCTAGGCACAGTAGCTGGAACTGGGTGAGAAGTGGATCAGCCAGAACTCAAACCTGTGCTTTCCTATGGGATGTTGGCATCATAAGTCAGTGCCTGGCACCCCAGGTGAGTGCCAGTTCAGGTCTTGGCCCCACATGGGAGACCTGAGAGAAACTCTTGGTTTCTAATGTTTAAGTTCAGATTTCCATGTGCTTTTTGCAGTATTCATGTGTTTATTTGAAAGACAGACAAAGAGAGAGAGGGAAAGGAGAAGGGAACTTGGAAGGGAGAGGGGGAGAGAAAAATCTTCCATCCAGTGGTTCAATCCCCAAATGCCCCCAACAGACTGGACCAGGCCAGGCCATAAGCCAAGACCCAGGAGCTCCTCTTGCTCTCCCACAGCAGGCAGAGAAGCAAGTACTTGGACCATCACCTGCCGCCATCCCACAAGTAGCCAGGACCTGAACTAGGCTCCATGGGATGAAATGTCAGCATCCCAAGCAGCACTCTAACCCGCGCACCGCCACATCACCCCTGGAGTTCTCCATGGACTGCCTGTTGCCCATCTTTGATCTGCTATGCATACCTGCTCTCCCAAGCTCAGCTCATGACCAGAGGAGCTGACGATCCTGCCTGCTGTTGAATCAGCGCTTGAATCATAAAAGGGATGTGGGCGTCTCCAGAGGAAGCTTGCCTGGCTTTGCCACAGACGTCACCCTGGTCCCACGTTCTTGCCAATGCTTATGCATTTCTAAAACATGAAACAGTGTTTTTCTTTTTCTTTTCTTAATGTTTACATCGTTGATCAGGGTGGGAAGGGTTGAGGATCAGGGGGAAGTGTGGGAGACCATTGTTTCCACACCTTCTTTTTCTTCTTCCCGTATCTGGGGGAAGGGAGGAGACAAGGGGAGAAGCTGCGGCTTTGCCTGGTGTGTCACAGAACCAGCCCCTGGCAGGAACATTTCTATTCTAGCTTGACTTGTGCAGCATCCACGGGAAGATGCAACCTGCCCATCTTGTTGGGTGGTGGGTTGCATTTTGTGCCCTGCCTTGCCGACTCACTGTATTATTGTTCCAATACACTACAGTGTGAGAGCTTGGGTCCCTCCCAGAACCCTGTGTTGAAACTTAAGCAACCTTGCCAAATTTTAACGACTTGTCTAACATGTTCATGAGAATTAGTAACTGTGATTTTAAAAATTTTGTCAAAGGCGCTCCCATCAGTGAGGACACAACGAGAAACGATCATGAATGGGACCAGAACCTAGCCCTCCCCCAGCCAGTAAATCAACAAGCATCTGGCCCTCATACTTCTAGCCTCTAGCACTGCAAGTAAAACATTCTTAAAACATTCTTATTTATAGGCCTGGTGCGGTAGCTTAGTGGTTGAAGTCCTTACTTTGCACACTAAATGATCCCATATGGGCACCAGTTAATATTCCAGCAGCTCCATTTCCCATCCAGCTTTCTGCTTGTGGCCTGGGAAAGCAGTTGAGGACGGCCCAAACCTTGGGACCCTGTGCCTGTGTGCGAGATCAGGGGCTAGCCTCATGGCATAGCAGGCTAATCCCCCGCCTGTGGTTCCAGTATCACGTATGGGTGCTAGTTCAAGTCCTGGCCGCTCCAGTTCTGATCCAGCTCCCTGCTAATTACCTGGGAAAGAAGCAGAGGATGGCCCAAATCCTGGAACCCCAACATCCATGTGGGAGAGCAGAAGCAGCTGCTGGCTTCCGCTCTGGCCAGTGCAGCCGTTTGGGACCAGCAGATGTAACAGTTCTCTGTTTCTTCCCGTCCTTATTCTCAAGGACAATAAATAATACTTATCACTGGTAAATGAAGTCATGAACACCAAGACCAAGGTGGTCTGCTTTTTTTCTACGAATGCATCAGGTGGCTGAAACATCTGTTTTCCTTCATAGGAAGTTATGTCAACTCTGTGGTGACACTGTTTCATCAATGGCAGTTCCGCAGTGCTGCTAAGTCAGCTAACCGGCCGGTTGACTGTGAAACTCGGCTGCATGTAGATCCTGGCTTTCACTTCCAAACCGTCATCTTGGGCAAGAAACACTGCCTTTATGCTCTCCTTCAAATTCTCCTTCTGTGCGCGGGAGGATACCTTGGGTCAAGTCATTGAGGCTCAGCGAGAGCTTCTCACTGGTGCTTCCCACACGGTCAACACTGACTGCAAAGTAGCAGTCATTTCTTATTGCAGAGAATAGCAACAACGTTGGAAAAACCCTTGAACACGCTGCGAGCTGTTAAAATTTTCCCATAGCACGGTTTCCCCTCTTTGGTGAGTTGACACTTGTCCAACCACCGATTATCTGAAGTGGAAAGCCAAGCTTACACAGAAAGATGCAATTTAGTGTGAAAACGACCCTACATATTACATGCAAATATTTTCGAGTTTCCAGAGCCAGGGGCAGAACTGAAGACCCGCTAGGGGCTTAAGCAGAAATGGCAAGGAGTGCGCAGGAATTCTAAGCGTTCTGGAATCGTCTGAAGGCGGCACACTGTTTGGGGATGTAAGGCAGTTCTCTCCTCCAATAGTCACCTGGATCTACAGGGCAGTGGTTGATGTGCCCAGTCCTGACCCTCGGGGCCGGACAACCCAGTCAGAAAGACCCCAGCTCCACCGTGCGGGAAATGAGGGCAGCTCAGACCCCGGACGCGGGAGACAAGAACGCCAGGGAGGACGCTCCCACCGGCTCTCGTCCGCGCCTCAGCCCGGCAGGGCCACTTCCGGGAGGGGGCGGGGAGACAAGAGGAGGCGTGTCGGGAAGGAGGCCGTTTGTAGTGCACCAGGCGGAAGTGGGCCAGGGAGCGAGCGGTGCGGCGCTTCCGGTCCGGGCCGACGAGGCTGAGGTCGGCTGCGTGGTGTGTCGCGTGCTGGGATCGGCTTCCGAGGGCGAGTCGGCCCGGGAGAAGGCGCACACTCGTGTCTGGTGGCGGAAGTCGAGTGGAGCGCAAAGTCTGGAGGCAGAAGAAGAAGAAAAAGCCTGGAACTTGAAGGCGACTTCCCTGCTGTTTCCGAGGGGGGCACTTCCACAGGGAACCCCTCTGCTCCGGTAACGGCCAGAGAGGAGGAGATGGCGCCAGTCAGGGAGCGGCCGTGGCCGAGACAGTGAGGAGGCGCGAAGGCCGAGCCGCGGGACGAGGAGCCGAGCCGTCGCTGCCGCCGCCAGCACCCGCACCATGGAGGGGGCCAAGCCGACCCTGCAGCTCGTGTATCAGGCCGTGCAGGCGCTCTACCACGACCCGGACCCCAGCGGCAAGGAGCGCGCCTCGTTTTGGCTTGGGGAGCTGCAGCGTTCGGTGAGGGGGCCCCGGGGGCCGCTCTGTGGGCGCGGGGGGCCCGGGCTGGACGGGGCGCGGCAGCGGGCCCGCGGCGGTTGGCCTCGTGCGGCCCTCGGCGGGGAGAGGAGCCGCTGGCGTGGGGTGGGGCTGCGCAGCTACCTGCCTGCCGGCGGCTGCTCGAGGGCGACGTGCCCTCTGCCCACCGCGGAGGCCCCGCGCCTCGCTGCTCGGACAGACCCCGGCTCCAGCAGGGCTTGTTTTCCTCCTGTCTTCCACCCTCGGGTGCTCTCGGGTGCTCCTGGCACTTCCTGCCCGGTCGTAGCCTAACTCTTGCACGATCGCAGTCCGGAGCTTAGCGTTCTCGAAACTTCTCCGCTTTCTGTAGTCCTGGACGTGAGCATTTCCTCTTTGCTTTCGAGCGCAGTGGAGAGCAAGAAGCATCGAGTCCGAGTTCAGGCGTCTTAGAGTTTCCCTTTGGCTTTCTCCAGGCCCCGACCTCCCTTTCCTTGTTCGGTTTTTAATTGTAAGATGGTTAATTTCGCCTAAATGTGAGCGTTCAGTAAGGTGTGAGTGCCCGTGTGTGTCTGCCTCACCTGTCTCTTGTTCGCCCTCACCTTGGCTTGCACTGGCTGTGGGACAGCACACAGGTGCTGGAGTCGGAAATGTAGCATGGGCTTTGCCGGTTGCCAAGTAAGGCTTTCAGGCCGGTTTTGAATTTTACGCTCAGCCCCTTTTGTGGGCTCTTTCTCTTTTTGTATTTTTAACTCCTAACTGCTGCTTAAGAGGCTCTGCCCTAGTCGATGGCCCTCCCAGGCTGCAAGTGTATCCTGGATATTGTAGATGTGCAGTTTTGACTTGGACACTGCCCTGTTGAACACTGAGCTGGTCTGCCGGCCCGCAAGGCTTGGTTTACCTTGTGGCAAGACAAAGGGTCGGGCTCCCTGCAGGCTCTGGGAGGAGCTCACAGATGGTCTCCCTGGGTCAGTGGCTGTGGTCTGTTCGGGGAGTCCTGGGTCCCTGCTCCTTGTGCAGTGGGAGAAATGGTTTACCATACTGCAGAAGACAGCTCTTCGCTACTCGAACTTTTTTATTGTTATTTTGATTATTGGTTATTAAAGATTTTCTTATTTTTATCTGAGAGGCACGTTTACAGAGAGACACAGAAGACCTTGCATGCACCAGAACATTGCCCAAGTGGCCGCAGTGGCTGAGCTGGACCACAGGAGCCTCTCCAGGTCTCCCATGTGGGTAAAGGGGGCATGAAGCATTGGCCCATGCCCTCTGCTTCCCTAGGTCATCAGCAGGGAGCTGGATCAGAAGTAGAGCAGGCTGGGATGCCAGACACTTAATCCACTACTCCATGGTGTTGGCTCCTCGCGATGTGTGCTTAAATTGGGTCTGGGGTGCTTAGCATGTCCCAAGAACTATGCTGTGCCAAGCCAGGCAGAAAGTCTGCTTACCACATAGGGTAGTTGTGATTGTTAAGTGAGTTAATATCTATGGAAGTTTAGGAAAGTTTGGGGCTGGTATGATGGTTCAATTGGCTAATCCTCCGCCTGCTAGCAACAGCATCTCATGGGTGCTGGTTCGTGTCTCAGGTGCTCTACTTCCAATACAGCTTCCTGCTCATGGCCTGGAAAGAGTGCACGATGACCCCAAGGCCTTGGGACCCTACACGCATGTGGGAGACCTGGAAGAAGCTCCTGGCTCTCTGTCTATGGGCTTTGGATTGGCTCAGCTCCAGCCATTGGGGCCATTCGGGGAGTGAACCAGCGGACAAAAGATTCTCTTTCTGCCCTCTGTCTGTATAATCTGCTTTTCAAGTAAAAATAAATCTAAGAGGACCTGGCGCGGTAGCCTAGTGGATAAAGTCCTCACCTTGCTTGTGGTGGGATCCCATATGGGCGCCAATTCTAGTCAGCATCCCCGCTTCCCATCCAGCTCCCTGCCTGTAGCCTGGGAAAGCAGTCAAGGACTACTCAAAGCTTTGGAACCTTGCACCTGTGTTGAGACCTGGAGGAGGCTCCGGGCTCCTGGCTTCGGATTGGTGCAACTCCGGCCTAAGCGGCTGCTTGGGAAGTAAATCATCGGACAGAGGATCTTCCTCTGTCTCTCCTCTGTGTATATCTGACTTTCCAATTAAAAAAATAAAAAGTAAGAAAAAACGGTTCATGGAACCTAGGTATAAAAATATTTTAGCAGTTTTTCAAATGTTGCTGTTCCCTCCTATTTTCCACTGATATTTTAGTCTTTTATCGTTGGTACTGACACTGCGTTCAGGCGTCACAGGTGGTGTGTTTGACAGGTCAGTTTGAGGGCACTAGTCACATAGAGGGACACACACCGTTTATATGTGTGTATTATGTAGATATGAAATTGTGCTACAGAAAATGGTGTGGTAAGCTGTGGCTGACTTGCCCGTGAATGAGTGAGCGCTTCCTGCGGCTGGAAGAGCGCTCTGGCGTGGCTGTCTTGAGAAGATGATTTGAGGTGACCTTACGGGAAGGAGGCATCGGGCATGAATAGCCTAAGTTTATTTCTCTTCCTCCAGTTTCTTTTCTTTATTATTGTTTTAAGATTTATTAATTTTTATTGGAAAGGCAGATGTACAAAGAGAAGTAGAGACAGACAAAGATCTTCCATCTGCTGGTTCACTCCCCAAATGGCCGAAATGGCCAGAACTGAGCAATGTGAAGCCAGGAGGCTTGTCCGGGTCTCCCACATGAGTGCAGGGGTCCAAGGACCTGAGCTATCCTCTGCTGCTTTCTCAGGCCATAATCAGGGAGCTGGAAGGGAAAGTGGAGCAGCTGGGACATGAGCCAGTGGCCATGTGGGATGCGTGTGCTTCGAGGTGGAGGATTAGCTACTTGAGCCAACATACTGGGGCCACTATTTCTGTTCCTTCTGCTAGAATTCCCCACTGGCCAGAGTCAGCCAGAAGCCAGGGACAGCGGAACCTGCTGATAACAAACATGCAGGCTGACCTACTGCAGCTGTGGAGCGTGGAGCAGATGGGTCACGTGGTTGCTGCCTTGCTACCTCGTGCCCAGGCAGCTTTGGCTAGACTGTCAGCCTCTTCACTTTTTTTTTTAAGCTAGAGATTTATTGTTATTTTGTCATTAATAAGTCATCAAATTGGTTATAACACTGTCTGGCCCCTTGACAGACAGCCTCCTCATTTTCTTCAGCCACCTGGTCGCATTGCTTCACTGTGATCTCCTTGCTGAAAAGACTCCAGTCCTCCAAGTCACTGGTTCGGACAGGCTGTTCTGGTCACAGCCTGCCATTTTCTCTCTTACTGCCCCAAGAATCTCTGGAATCTCTTATCGCAGGTGGAAGTACTCTTGTTTGTTTCTTGATGGAAGCAGCCCCTCCCAGTGTCCTCATCCAGTCAGGCCTGTGTGTTTAGATCTGTTGTGTGGTTGTTGTCCTAGGAAGTTCCCTTCACTTCCTTCTTGCCTCAGGTTCCCTGATTCCCAGACCCCAGGATCTTTTTTTTTCTTGGTAGATGGGTCATTGAGAACAGCATCCTCGCTTCCTTTTCTTGTTGGCACTTTCCTCCTGTGCTCCTCTGACCTGCTGAGTGGCCTGAGGTCGTGGTTGCTGCTGTCACAGCCCCGTTGGGGCAGTGAGGCTGCGGGGTGCAGTGCACACCAAGTGGAGGCTTTAATGGACATCATGTTTTCAGTAGATGCCCCAGGACTTTGCTGAGTCTGTTCAAGAGTTCAGTCTCGCAGCTTTACTTGTCCAAAGTAAAAGTTGAGTCTGCTGTTCTGGTGGAAGGACGGTAGCCTGGCTGCTTGGCAGGAAGGAAACCTTGGGGTCTTCATTGCTGCTTCTGGATTCTGTTTCCTGTGTGTCTGCCTGCAGAGCCTGCAGTGGAAGCGCTGGCTGCTGGGTGGGCTTCGTGGTGAGCAGGTTAAGCTGCCTGTGTCCTCTGTGGCAATGCCATTCCACGTGCGATCGCTTCCTGTCAGTGTGTCCTGGGAAGCAGTGATTGAGAGTCCTGTCACTCATGTGGGGGATCCAAATGAGATTTGTGGTTTCCTGGCCTTGGCCCTGGCTGTCCCAGCTGGCACTTAGGGAGTGTACCCGTAGATTAGAGGAAAATCTTTTTCTGTCAACTGACCCCGCCCCTTCCCTTTGAAGTAAATGAAAATGGATAAAACCTCCCAGCCTTTCTGGGTTTGGGTGCCACAGTTTGCCCTTTAGGTTTCCTGTTCTCATTTGGTCCCCTCATCCCTTCAGGCAAATTGCAACCTCACGTCTAGTGGGACAGATAATTCGTCAGCTTACCATTCTCTACAGTTCTATTGATATTGGTCATCTATTGCACTATCTTTATCCTGTGGGTTTTGATTTTTTTTTTTTTTATGATTTTTTGCTTGCTATTTGTGGAATTTTTGGAGGCCTGAGGACAAATAGATGTGTGCGTTAAAGTCCCTGCATTATTTGTTTTAAACAATTTTTGATTAGCATGTAATACCAGTACGTTTTTATGGGATTTGGTATGATATTTCTACACAATCACATAGCATATTGGTCAGGGAGGTCGTTAGTGTTGCCATCAGCTTATCTTTTCTGCTGGGAGCCTGTGAGCTCTCAGTGCTTCCTGAAGCGGGTGCCGTGTTGTGAACTGTAGTCCTGTGCTGTGTACTAGAGCACACTACCTGTACCTGGCCTCCCTCACGCCCCTGGGCTTCATCCTTCCGAAACTCCGGAAATCACTGTTTTATGTTCAGATGGACTTTCTAAAACCTTCCACAATGAGAGAGAACATGTGGTGTCTGTGTCTGGCTAACTTCATTTTGCTGCAAATAGGAAAAATATGGAATACTCCAAGAATTTGCTGTCATACTCATGAGTTTTTGTATTCTACCAATTTTTAGTGAATGAACATCCTGCAGTACTCTTTGGATTTTGTCAGTCTCCGTCCATTGATTGTCTCTTACTTTTCTTTATTAGGTCTGTCTTATATCTTTCCTTATGCATTTTGGAGTCACCTTCAAATGGACCATTGGTGCTCACTCCTGATCTGGTAAACCTTCAGCATGGTTGCCCAGCCACTGCCATCAGGGCCAGGTGCTCTTTGTCACATCCTCTGGACGCTTGGTGTCATGGTTCATCTCGGTGTACCTACTACTTAGTACTCTTGGTTCATCTTGGAGTACCTAGTACACTTTGAGACAGTTGCCTGAGTCCTTTGGCATGGAATCACCTGTAGTGTCTCTCTCAGTGATCAAATTTGGGAGGAGAGGGAAGGGTGCTATTATTACTTAATTCTTTTGTTTCATTGATTGTTCTATATTTTGCCCTTTTCCAGTATTGTTCTCAAGTGCAGAAACTAACCCATCTCTCAAAGCCTAACCCAACATCTACTTTTTCTTGAAGTCTTAGCTGATTTTCTAGCAGAAAATCCTTTCTTCACCCCTCTCCATGCCTATAGTGTTTTATTTAATTGCATTTGCCATTTTTTGACCTCTTTGACATTTTGTCTTTCACTAGACTATGTGGGATCCTTAATCCACGGGTAGGGAACGTGATGCCCAAAGCACATGTAAGGCCAGTGAAATCATTGGGTCTGACCCTACTAAAGGTAATGGCAGATGGAATTCAAGTTTTAATAAATCTATAGCAAGCTAATTTTTAAATCGATTATTTTGTATGGCCCTTGAATGCTACTAGAAATATTCAGATAGCTTTTGGCAGTAGATAGAGTCCCCATCCTTGATGTAGCTGAATACTCATAATTAAAGGAACAGACCATGACTATTAAGAAAATAATTGGATGGGCCCTGTGTGATGGCCAAGTGACTAAAGTCTTCCCCTTGCACACGCTGGGGTCCCGTATGGGCGCCGATTCTAATCCTGGCGGTCCTGCTTCCCATCCAGCTCCTTATTGTGGCCTGGGAAGGTAATCAATAATGGCTCAAAGCCTTGGGACCCTGAACCCACATGGGAGACCCGGAAGGAGCTCCTGGCTCCTGGCTTCAGATAGGCGCAGCTCCTGCCATTGCGGTCGCTTGGGGAGTGAATCATTGGACGGAAGATCTTCCTCTCTGTCTCTCCTCTTTGTATCTGATTTTCCAATAAAAATAAATATTTCTTTAAAAGAAAATGATCAGGCCTCCTGTGATGGCTTAATTGCTAAATATTTTTCTTGTAAGTACTGGGATTACAGCTGGGCACTGGTTTGTTCCTGGCTGCTCCACTTTCTATCCAGCTCCCTGCTTGTGGCCTGGGAAAGCAGTAGAGAATGGCCCATGGACCCTGCATTAGGCTATCCTTTGCTGCCTTCGTGGACCATAAGCAGGGAGTTGGATGGGAAGTGGAGCAGCTGGAAAATGAATCAGTGCCCTTTAGGTATGTTGGCACTTGGAGGTGGAGGATTAACCAATTGAGCCATCACGCCGGCCCCAGTTATTAGCATTTAGATGACGGTTCAGGGAGATGAGAAAGGAGTCATTTATAAACACCTCTGAATGAATTGAGATAACATGTCAATAATGATGTGCTGAATGGTATACAATCTTGTTTGCATAGAGTGAACACTGCTAAAATGAATTTTTACATTGGGTAACAACATTATGGCATAGTGGGCTAAGCTGCCATGTGCAACGGTCAGAAAATGGCCATTTTTTAAAGAATCTGTATTTATTATTCCAAACTTTTTCCAACAAAATTCTTGAAAACTTACAGCTGTGATTTTGTTGTATGCAATTGACAGATATCATTAATAGTGGCAAAATGTTTCCCAAACAAAAAATTGTTTTGAGGACAGATCTTAAAGGAGTCCTTATTAGGGCTGGTATTGTTATGCCACAGGTTAAGCTGATGCCTGTGTTGCTGGCCTCCCATGTGGTTCTTGGCTGCGCTGTTTCCATTCCATCCTTGGGAAGGCAACAGAAGATAGTCTATGTCAGATACTTAGGCCCCTGCCACCAATATGGGACAGTCAGGCTCTTGATTTCAGCCTGGACAAGCTCTAGCCATTGTGGGTAGAAGATAGCTTGCTCACTTTCTGCGGCCCCATCTCTCTCTCTGCCTTTCATATAAAAAATGTTTTTTCTCAGTGGATTACTTCTATTTGAAAGGCAGTGTTACAGAGAGAGGAGGCACACAGATTTTGCATCTGTTGGTTCACTTCCTGAATGGCCACATTAGTTGGAGCTGGTCCAGTGGCAGCCAGGAGCTGGGAACTTCTTCCTGGCCTTCTGTGTGGGTGCAGGAGCCCAAGGGCTGGAGCCATCCTCCACTGCTTTCCCAAACCGTCAACAGGGAGCTGGTGCTGCAGGTGGAAGCTGAGCGTGCCATGACGCTGTCCTTCCCCACTTTACCGATTTTTTTGAAGGATCCTTATCTGGTGGCAGAGAGTCTGTCCTTGCGCAGGGGCCATGCTAATCTCTGTATCGTCCCGATTTTAGTGTATGTGCTGCCGAAGCGAGCACAGGCCTGTCCTGAACATTGGAGTTTCCTCTGTTCACCCCCAGTAACAGTGCAGGAAGTGAGGGAGAAGAACTCTTTAAGGAGTACAGAAGTTTGTTACTTAGTTTTTTGAGTCCATACTTTAGGTACAGAGATGATCTCTGGATTGTAGGTTTCCCTTAAAGTGTAGAAGTCTAATCTGGAACCAATAAGGCATGATGAAATCATAAAAGGCATGACTCAAGAGGAATCAAATAAGGTTAGATGGACCCAGTTGGCATTGTGATGTTCAGTTTACACCATGTCCGTAGGAACTATTTTTTTGTTAAATATATCAAACAGATCACAGGCCATTGACCATGAGTTTCAAACATCTTTTTTCCATTTGGATTTCTTGATTTTTCAGTTGTAAAATCTAAGGCCTTGAGTTTTTCTCTAGGAGTTTCAGCTACTTTATTTTATGTGAGCATTTAGGAATTGTGTGTGCGTATGTGCACGCGCGCATGCGTACACTTAGCTTTCACCATCCAGTCCAGTGTGTCATAAGACAACGTGCTTGTTACAAGGGAAAGCCTTCTATGAAGTGAGAATGTTTCTGTGTAGCTTATTCAGTGAATTTAGGAATACCGTAGGCCTTGCACTGATAGACACTGAGACTATAGAAGTAAATGATAAGAACCTATGGCCTGCATGGGTAGGAGACACTCCAGCGGCAGCATGATGGATATGTGAGAATTCATCAAAGATGCTCATTGTGAGACTGGAGGGGAGGACAGAGCGGAGGCGAAAGGGAGACCCCAGCACTGACAAAACTGTGTGTGTGTGTGTGTGTGTGTGTGTGTGTGTGTGTGTGTGTGTGTGTGTGGTGCCTGCAGTCACAGCATCCTTTATGGGCACTGGTTCAAGTCCTGACTGCTCCATTTCTGATTTAGCTCCCTGTTAATACACCTGGGAAAAGAGCCGAAAATGGCCCAAGTGCTTGGGCATTTCCACCCATGTGGGAGATCTGGAAGAAACTCCTGGCTCTTGGCTGCAGACCAGCCCAATCCTAACCATCTGGGGAGTGAAGCAACAGATGGAAGGTCTCTATTCCTCCCTCCTTCCCTCTGTCACTCTGCTTTTCAAACACACACATACATACATACACACATACATGCCTTTTTCCTGCTTTAAAATGGCCTTTTTCCCAGAGTTTATCAATTTAGTTGAGTCATGCAATATGGTAGCCATTTGCCAGGTATGACTAAATTAGTGAAAAGTAAATAAAAGCTAAAATCATTTTATTTGTACTCTTCTCATCCCAGATCTCGAGCAGTGCAAATATAGACTGTTATGTGTTTGTATCAGAGCCTATGGAAGTGAATTTGAAGGCATGGTAGTCTTGTTCAGCGGCAGTCTCCTATGTTTGGAGTAGTATTGTCTTGCCAGGCCTTGGACTGGGAAGAAGCTCCTGGCTTTGGATATGCTCAGCTCTGGCCATTGTGGCCACTTGGGGAGTGAATCAGCAGACGGATGATTTTCCTCTCTGAGTGTCTTTCCAATAAGAATTTTTTTTAGAAGATTTATTCATTTATTGGAAAGTCAGATATACAGAGAGGAAGATCTTCCGTCGGATGATTCACTCCCCAAGTCACTGCAATGGCCGATGCTATGCCGATCCAAAGCCAGGAGCTAGGAACTTCTTCCGGGTATCCCATGCGGATGCAGGGTCCCAAAGCTTTGGGCCGTCCTCAACTGCTTTTCCAGGCCACAAGCAGGGAGCTGGATGGGAAGTGGAGCTGCCGGGATTAGAACCGGTGCCCATATGGGATCCCGGGGCATTCAAGCCGAGGACTTTAGCTGCTAGGCCATGATGCCGAGCCCACCAATAAGAATTTTTTAAAAATCTTAAAAAAAAAAAGTTATCTTCAAAGAATAGAGTATATTTGGGATTAAGCTTGAAAATATGGCTTTTATCATAAGTAGTTTTTCAACTCCTTAATATAATTTCACAATACTTTAATCTCACATCTAACATATTGTCATGTGAGTTTTAAAAATTTAAATGTTAAGCATGTTAATATGCATACAATTCTTGTCTGATTTATATGAGTTGTTCTCGGCTCGCTCAGGTGGGCAGCAACAGAAGCCAGACCTGAGAGGAAGTACTTTTCCAGTACTTTTGTTTTCTGGAAGTCCTTTGGGGTACTCCTTACTTGCGTCAAGTGGTTCCAAGCTTGGCAGGTCTACTCTTAAAGCTGGGCTGCCTGGTATGATAAGGCCCATAAGGAAGTGATTATGAGAGAAAAGAAGCTTTGGGTCATTGTTAGCTGAAATGGATTTTACAGATCCAAATTTATTTTGGAGATCATTATCAAGGGTAATACATGTATAGGTAATTGAATTTTTTTTCTTGGAAACAGATTGTTTATACTTGTTAGGAACAAATTGGGCAAGCTGTCTGAGCACCACTGTATGTGTGAAGGACACAGAGGTGAGTTCATTGATTCTGTGATTGGACGCTCCGACCCAGAGCCCTGGATCACAGCGTGCGCTGCTGTCATCCCCTGTCCCCGAGGTCTTCCTGCGAGATGTGGAGCAGTGCAGAGGGCACTCTGGCTTCCGGAGTTGTTTGGAGAGATTGCTTTAGCATTCTCTTAGAGTGTAAATAACTCGTGTTTCAAGTAACACGCAGGTTTTTTTCTCCTGTGAAAGAGTTTTCTTCCTTTTGGCTATTTGATTACTATTTGGTGGCTGTGAAAATGTGATTAGGCTGAACTTATCTTCATTACTGACCTTTTTAAACAGTTTTTTGGTAATATAAAGATGGCACAGTATGTGACTTCCTTAGATGTGTGTATTGTGTAATGTCCAGTGGGAGTAAGAATGCTGATCTCTTCAGACATGTAACTTTACCAAAAATCCTATCTTCCAGTGGTTCTTGCGCATACACTCAGTCACACACCAAGAAGGAGACACGCCTTATCTATAGTCAGCTTACTGAGCAATGGAATTTCAAAACATAAGTCTGTGTTTTTGCTTTTGGGAAGATTTTTTTGTGTGCGTACAAGGGTGTTTTTGGGCCTGGGAGCTTGAATGGGCTTTGTGGTCAGTTTTCCTTCACAGCTGTGTTCCAGTTGGGAGTTGTTCTCTCCTCACTGCTGTGGCACAGACTCTAGCGCACCTCATCATGGCCATCTTACGAAACAACTCACACTGAGAAATACTTTGGGTGGGAATGGTTGTATTGCTCTTCAGCTTACATATTTTTTATTTCCTTTTTAATTTTTTAGTAAAGTTATTTTTTAAATAAAATGATCATCCCCCTATTTATTTGTTTGAAAGGTAGTATTACAGAAAGAGGAGACACATGGAGAAAATCTTCCATTCTCTGATTCACAGCACTTTGTGAATTGGCTGTCATGGGTGGGTGATGGATAGGCTGGAGCCTGGAACTGCATCTGGGTCTCCCAGTGATTGTAGGTGCCCACGGACTTGGGTGATCCTCTGCTACTTTCCCAGGTGCTTTAGCAGGCAGCTGGATTGGACATGGAGTGGCCAGGACTCCAGCCATTGCTCATACAGGAGGTGCTGCTGAGACAGGCTGCATTTAACCCACTGTGCCACAGTGGTAGCTCCTACTAGAAAGCTGTGAAAGTCTTCATTTCATTAATATAGTATTCACTATTTTTTCCTAAAGGTCTTATTTTTATTGGAAAGACAGATCATATTCATAGAGAGGAGAGACAGAGGGAAAGATCTTCCTTCTGCTGGTTCACTCTTAGGTCCGCAATGATTGGAGCTGATCTGATATGATCTGAAACCAGGAGCCAGAAGCTTCATCTGGGTGTACCACGCAGGTACAAGGTCCTAAGGTTTTGGGTCATCCTCTACTGCTTTTCCAGGACAAGCAGAGAGCTGGCTGGGAAGTAGGGCAGCTGGGACATGAACCAGTGCCCAAGTGGGATCCTGGTGCCTGTCAGGTGGGGATTTAGACACTGAGCCATTGTACCTGGCTCACCAATTAAAGTTCTTAAGAAAATGCAGCATCCTAACACTTTAGAGTTACATTTCAAGTCTCAATTATTTGTTTCCAGAGTCTGAGTTTTTATTTGCCAGGGTTGATTAGACCTCACTGGTGAAATATTTTAAGTAATTCTGTTGAATTTGAAGTGTTTTCTTAGTTTGAAAGAGTTAAGGGAGCAGAGACAGAGAGATCTTCCAGTTATTGGTTTGCCCCCCTCTGCCCTGAGATGGCCCCGGTGGCCAGAGTCAGGAGCTTCGTCCAGATCTTCATGGGTGGCAGGGACCCAAGTGGATGCAAAGACTTCATGTGCCTACCCCACAACACTAGCTCTGATTTGAAGTATTTTTGTGGATTAACTAGCAGCCACAATTTGTTGCGATTCTTGGCAGCTAAGAATTTCCTTTGACTCCTAACTGGGTGAGGGCTTACGTTGTTGAAGGGACCTGCTAAGTAATTTTGGTTGATTTGGCAGTTTTAGAATCTTGCACTAACAGTGTACTGATAAAGGAGGTTCAGGGGCCTTGTATTTGTCACCAAGTTGTAGAAATGCCCTTTGAAAAGACTGATAGGGCCCGGCACCGTGGCCTAGCGGCTAAAGTCCTCGGCTTGAACGCCCCGGGATCCCATATGGGCACCGGTTCTAATCCCGGCAGCTCCACTTCCCATCCAGCTCTCTGCTTGTGGCCTGGAAAAGCAGTTGAGGACGGCCCAAAGCTTTGGGACACTGCACCCGTGTGGGAGACCTGGAAGAAGTTCCTGGCTCCTGGCTTTGAATCGGCATAGCATCGGCCGTTGCAGTGACTTGGGGAGTGAATCATCCGACGGAAGATCTTCCTCTCTGTCTCTCCTCTCTGTATATCTGACTTTCCAATAAATAAATAAATCTTTTAAAAAAAGAAAGAAAGAAAGAAAAGACTGATATATAAAGGGCCTGTTCTGCTAATGCTTTGTGCAATGGGAGATTGGAATTAGATGCTTAAATGGAAATGTTCTCTTGTTGCAGCCTCTTTGCAAAGT